CCAAGTCCGCGTTGTCAAGATGCGATGCTTATGTGGACAAATTACTGGGCCGTTCATAAGTCCAAAAATAGGGTAATGATCACTTATAGTTGTACTAAGAACTCCTGAAGATCTGAACAGACTTGGGGTAGACGTGACGAGTAAATCAATAAGAGATCTTGTGTTATAAGAAACACGAGTGGGTTCTTTAATTATTTGTTCTAGTTCATTAGCAGCAAGAAATCGTCCGTGGCCTCATAAGGTGTAATTTAAGGGAGTCGCTGAAGAGGGGGAGGAGAGGGTGATTCTGGGTGGTGTATGACTAACTTCCTTTAAGGCAAAAAATAATGATTAATTAGGAAGATAAAACAAATCTGCCAAATTTTTGTAAAGGCCATTACGCGTGACACGTGATGTATGAATTTAATTTTGTGCTTGCAGATTTTCCAAGCGAATTCAGACTTGAACACCGTGGTACAGCACACACAGAATAACCCAGTCCATGCAGGGTTCGTCCGCTTTCATTCTGTCAACTCTGTCAACTTTGCTTAATCCCCTTGTATGAGGGTTGAGGTGTTTGCACAGTGAATACAGAATCATCTCGGGTATTTTTTTTTCTGAAAAAATTACCGTTTCCAGGAGCTATGAAATACATTTGTTTTATTTTCCTTGGTTCATTAGCCAGTAGTTAAGTCCTGGGTGCTTATTAGAGGAGTAAGTCTTGTTTTTTAAGCATTAAGATTATTCCTTGTTTTGAAAACTAGTTAAAAAATCATAAAAGGATAGATAATCAAGGTCTTTAATATGCGATTCTTTAATATACTAAATGCACCAACACGAAAATACGAATGTTCGTGACTCAAATATAAAACTAAACAGATATCATGTAGTCAATACATATTAAACAAGAATAAAAGTGCATTCCAAATCATTTAGCATCATTGTTTAAATTAGCCAAAAGCATATACAAGAATTAATTAAACAGCTGAATGTTTACATTGATATAAAATCCTGAAATGAATGTATTTCTTACTAACTGCACGTCGCTAATTCTAACATTCCGTTAGGGCTCAGTAATTTAATTGATAAGAAGTATGAGTTAATGCATCGCGAACTCTGCATTTTTGGCTTGGCCTAAGAATAGTGGCGAAACAGGTCTCTAAAGCTCAGACCGAGAATCGTTGGTGCTATTGGGTTTTATGAAGGCTATTTACAGAGTGTTATCTACACACTCCTTCATTTACCAAATCTGGTTGAGAATTATTTTCGTATCCTCCTAATAATCTTGCAACTAAGATGTTATCTCGTAGAATACCTCCAGATCAGTCGAGGTAAATAGTTCACTCCCTGAAAAGAACACGCACTTGGCGAACGCAGTGTAACCAGTGGAGACGGCGTAAGTAGAGCCGCATGTGGTGAAGGAATTTTGAATGTTACCAGCGTTATTTCGTAGCTGGATGTCATGTCGCCCTTGATAACCCCCAAACGTTGGTCCATAATTACTGCAGCGGTAGATTGTGTGTCCTTGATACTGGTACTGAGCTAGTTTTGACAGGTTTATAACCATGCACGTTGTGCAGCGAGAAAATGAAGGCTTTGGCAGCCGATGTGTACCCACAAGAACCTGTAGCCAGAGAAATTTGTCAGTGGAAAGCTTATTGAATAAGAATACCTCATTGATATGATCATCCATGAGCTGTAAGGACCTTTAGGAATACTGAGAAAATCGATAGCTGGAAGAAGCTATGACGCCATGACGGCCACGGACAACAAGTCACAACAACAACGGCCGGACAAAGATGGTGGATAATGTCTCCTGAGGGTCAATGCAGTTTGCTCATGGGGCGATAATCCTCCGGATGATTAATAGCTTAGTTTATTTTTATCATAGAATGGACCGGCGTTCATCCCCGTTGTGTTCTTCGTAATGGCTTCGAGAGTAATTTTTCAAAGATTGTTTTTTGTATAACTCTTTTTCTTTAAGCTGTGCATAATTTTCCTCTGTTTGCATTGGTCCATTTAAGAGTGCTTTCGGTCTTTACACACTTTTAGTTCTTGTAGTTGCTTACATCGCATTTTGGAAATCTATTCACCATATGATTTTATAACAACAAGAAAATCAATTTAGCTTCCACCTTCAAACTAGGGGACATCCGAGACTATCACCCAAGTGATATTCACCGATTTTCAACCTTACGTCTACTACAATTAGATTTTGTTTAAAATTTAATTCAAGATGAGGGAGCGTTTTGTGGTTGTTAAGGAAGAAGGTAAACACCATTTTGGTTACGAAGTTGTGCCAGAAACCATGCCACGCAGCAAACAGTAGGCTGTTCGTAAAGTTTTTTCAACGCGCGTTATAAAATAGTTAAAGGATAGTAAACACAATAGCGTCCATTTGGCGCAAAAATATGCACAGATATCTTTCCTTCGCTCAAAGTTTTCCTCGAGCTTCGCTCTGGGGAAACTGTGAGCATCTTGGAACAGATAATGTCGGCGGACCACTATCAGCGCATATTTTCGCGCCAAATAAAGGATATTGTTTACCTAGC